GATTTACTGTTACATCCTCTCCTGCCCTCAGGGCAAGAAAATCAGTATTCCTAAAAAAACTGGACAAGATTCTGACTTCTCAACCAATTGCTGAACTCAAGTCATCCATTGAAACTCAAAACACTTGGGTTACTGTTGACTGCATTACTAAAATCCCGAATGCATCGTCTATGCTCAAGGTCACCTTTACCAACGTGAACATGGCTTCCACTGCTCTGAACGAAGGTCTTGCTGTTTACTACTACTACATCAGTCCCACCTACATAGAAGCAGAAAGATACCACTACATCCAACATTGCTGGAACTGCTATTCTTATCTTCACACCACCAAAGCATGTCCAGTAAAAGACAAGAAGTTCTGCACTACATGTGGTAGTGAGGGACACACCTTCAGTTCCTGTACCGCTGCTGCTCCAACGCAACCAGCATGTTTCAACTGCAAAAGTAATGATAACCATACACTGGCAGCGAAATGTCCTACAAGAAAGGATATAATGAAGAAAACACAAGATGCAGCAAAGAAAAAATCTACTAACAACACACCAACGTATGCCGCAATTGCAAAATTACAAGCAGACACTAGAAAATTACTTCAAGCATCTATTCAGCCCGCCTCCACCACTACCACCATCACTCCTCCAACATGTGACGTAACAAAGATCCACTATTATCTACTATACGCTCACGTGCAGAACATGGCTGTACCTGGATCCTTTAACTCTACCATCAACGAGTTATTTGCATTAAATAATATGCCATCATTTATATTTCCAGCATCTCCACCTTCTGAAGAAATTCTCAGATTCACCAAGGACTTAATAACCACCTCTGCTGCAGAAGGTCCATCAACACCACCAACTAGTGACGTCACTCTAACAACGTCCAATGAGAAGCCTCCACCGCCACCACTCCTTACTGACTCCAACCAATCAGAAGCCTTGCCACCAGAAACATCTTCTAATTCGTCTACTGAAGTTGACAATGAATCATCACCACCTTCCTCAACTCCACCACCGCCTTTTCCACCTCGCTCACGTCGATTACCTGGAACACCATGGGTTACACACAAACGACTCACATTCTACACCACGACGCAATACCCCACACGAATGACTCGCCTAGAACTCACCCAACATCTCCAAGACAACACTGCAACGTACCAAAGTGGAGAAAGACCATACCCTACCTTCAACCAGATATTCCACCAACTCCAAACCAAAGAACTCTACTACAGCTCTCCCATACGTGTGCTACAAATCTCTCGAACAAAATTCAGTGCACTGAAAAATGGTTTAAGACCATAACCAACTCATCCTGCTTGCTGCCTTCTGACACTCCCAGCTCCTACCGCTGCCTTTGCCATTCCTAGTGAGCCAAGTAACGACATCATTCAAGCCTCTCCATCTACGTCTCCAGTACTTCGGTACCACATGTCCCAAAGTGGTTGGGCCACTTGCCTTAATTTCTCCTCTTCGCCTCCTTCCCCTCCTTTTCCAGTTATTTCCATCCTTCCTTATCCTTCTTCCTTCCCATCTCACGACAGCTCTCGTCATCTTATTCGATTCGGCTTACAGAGGAAGAATTATGTTCCACTTCCCCATGGAGATAAGAAGAAATAAACAAGAACAAGAATTAGAAAGAAAATAGAAGAAAACCCAGAGGGGTGTGTATATATATGCTTGTACACGTATGTGTAGTGTGACCTAAGTGTAAGTAGAAGTAGCAAGACTTACCTGTAATCTTGCATATTTATGAGACAGACAAAAGACACCAGCAATCCTACCATCATGTAAAACAATTACAGACTTTCATTTTACACTCACTTGGCAGGACGGTAGTACCTCACTGGACGGATGCTGTCGACCAACCTACTACCTATGACTCTAAACTTTCTTTCTTTCAACACACCGGCCGTATCCCACCGAGGCGGGGTGGCCCAAAAGGAAAAACGAAAGTTTCTCCTTTTACATTTAGTAATATATACAGGAGAAGAGGTTACTAGCCCCTTGCTCCCGGCATTTTAGTCGCCTCTTACAACACGCATGGCTTACGGAGGTAGAATTCTGTTCCACTTCCCCATGGAGATAAGAGGAAATAAACAAGAATAAGAACTAGAAAGAAAATAGAAGAAAACCCAGAGGGGTGTGTATATATGTGCTTGTAGAATGACATGGAAAGCATATAAATCTATAGGGGAAGGAAAGAGGGGTAGGGGTCGTCCTCGAAAGGGTTGGAAAGAGGGGGTAAAGGAGGTTTTGTGGGCGAGGGGCTTGGACTTCCAGCAAGCGTGCATGAGCGTGTTAGATAGGAGTGAATGGAGACGAATGATACTTGGGACCTGACGATCTGTTGGAGTGTGAGCAGGGTAATATTTAGTGAAGGGATTCAGGGAAACCGGTTATTTTCTTATAGTCGGACTTGAGTCCTGGAAATGGGAAGTACAATGCCTGCACTTTAAAGGAGGGGTTTGGGATATTGGCAGTTTGGAGGGATATGTTGTGTATCTTTATACGTATATGCTTCTAAACTGTTGTGTTCTGAGCACCTCTGCAAAAACAGTGATAATGTGTGAGTGTGGTGAAAGTGTTGAATGATGATGAAAGTATTTTCTTTTTGGGGATTTTCTTTCTTTTTTGGGTCACCCTGCCTCGGTGGGAGACGGCCGACTTGTTGAAAAAAAAAAAAAAAAAAATGTATGTGTAGTGTGACCCAGGTGTAAGTAGAAGTAGCAAGACATACCTGAAATCTTGCATGTTCATGAGACAGAAAAAAGGATACCAGCAATCCTACCATCATGTAAAACAATTACAGGCTTTTGTTTTACACTCACTTGGCAGGACGGTAGTACCTCCCTGGGCGGTTGCTGTCTACCAACCTACTACCTATGACTCAGTAAACTTATTCCCCTATAATTTTTACAGTCTCTTTTGCCCTCTTCCCTTTATATAGAGGAATTATACATGCTCCTCTGCCAATCCCTAGGTACCTTTACCTCTATCATACATTTATTAAACAGATATGCCAACCACTCCAATGCTGTATCTCCCACTGCTTTTAACATTTGTGTCATGATCCCATCAGTTCCTGCTGCTTTACCCCCCTTTCATTCTACGTAATGCCTCACGCACCTCTCCCACACTTACATCCTGCTCTTCTTCACTCCTAAAAGATGTTATAACTTCCTGGCCAGTCATGAAATGACCGCCTCCCTTCTTCGTCGACATTTTAAAGTTTCTCAAAATATTCCTGCCATCTACCCAATACCTCCACCTCCCCATCTACAAACTCCCCTACTCTGTTTTTAACTGACATCCATTCATTCTCTAGGCTTTCTTAACTTGTTTATCTCACTCCAAAATTTTTTCTTGTTTTCATTAAAATTTCTTGACAGTGCCTCTCCCACTCTTATCATCTGCTCTCATTTTGCACTCTCTCACCACTCTCTTCACCTTTCTTTTACTCTCCATATACTGTGCCCTTCTTATATCACTTCTGCTTTGTAAAAACCTCTCATAAGCTACCTTTTTCTCTTTTATTTCACCCTTTACCCCATCATTCCATCAATCACTCCCTTTCCTCCTGCACCCACCCTCCTATAGCCACAAACTTCTGCCCCACATTCTAATACTGCATTTTTAAAACTAATCCATTCCTCTTCAACCCCCCCCCCCCCCCACTACCCATACTTGCAGTAGCCCACCTTTCTGCCAAAAGTTGCTAATTTCTCACCCTAATTTCCTCCTCCCTTAGTTTATAAACTTTCACCTCTCTCTTACTTTCCGTTGCCATTTTCCTTTTGCCCCATCCACCTCTTACTTTAACTGTAGCTACAATTAGATAATGATCCGATATATCTATTGCCCCTCTATAAACGTGAACATCCTGAAGCCTACCCATCAACCTTTTATCCACCAATACATAATCTAACAAACTACTTTCATTATGTGCTATATCATATCTTGTATACTTATTTATCTTCTTTTTCATAAAATATGTATTACTTATTATCAAACCTCTTTCTGCACCCCAAATTTACCTATTACTCCCTCTACAATAGTTTTACCCACTTTAGTACTGAGATCCCCAACCACAAGTACTCTGTCATTTGGTTTAAAACTCCCCATTCACTCAACATTTCCTAAAATCTCTCTCTCTCCTCTACAGTTCTCTCTTCTCCAGGTGCATAAACACTTTCTATAACCCAATTTTCACATCCAACCATTATTTTACTCCACATACTCCTTGAATTTATACATTTATATTCCTTCTTTTCCTGCCATAACTTATCCTTCAACATTATTGCTACTCCTTCCTTAGCTCTAACTATTAGAAACCCCTGACCTAAACCCATTTATTTCTCCCCACTGAAACTCTCCTACCCCCCTTCAGCTTTGTTTCACTTAGAGCCAGGACATTCAGCTTCTTCTCATTCATAATATCCACAATTTACTCATTCTTATCATCCGCACTACATCCATACACATTGAAAGATCCCACTTTGACGGTTTTCTTCTTTTTCTTTTCAGTAGACTATAATGAGAAATGGGGTTACTGGCCCATTGCTCTTGGCATTTAGTTGACCTTTACAACACATATGGCTTACAGGGGAAAGATTCTTATTCCATATTCCCTTTGATGTGAAAGGAAAAGTAATAAGAACAAGAAATATTAAGATAAAATCAAAGAAAACTCAAATGAGTGTGTATACATAAATGTGTTCATGCATGTGTAGTGTGACCCAAGTGTAAGTAGAAGTAGCAAGAGATATCTGAAATCTTGCATGTTTATGAGACAGAAAAAAGACACCAACAATCCTACCATCATGTAAAACAAATACAGGCTTCCGTTTTACATTCGCTTGGCAGTATGGTAGTACCTCCCTGGGCGGTTGCTGTCTACCAGCCTACTACCTATATCTTTATATAGTTTTTAATTTTTTCTGCTTATAAGAATATTTATCCACCTCACAAATACATGAATACTGTATTTTTTTTTTTTAGGACCAATCCGTGAAGCAGGCGAACACCGCTTACCCTTGCTGAAAGATGTAGAGTACCAGGCGCTGATCAATGCACCAGACAATTTCTCACCTGATGGCAAATGGATTTTGGGAGAAACACCTGAGGTACTAACCAAAATAGTGATATTTCTTTGTTATGCAATGTTTCCAACCCCTTTTAACCCTTAAATTGCCCAAACATAGATCTGTGTTTTCACTGCCAGCACTCTGAATATTTTGAAAAAAAAAAAAAATTAAAAAGGGCAATTTTCTGTGCACAATAAGACCAAAAAAAATTTTAGGACCAGTGCTTACCAAGATATAAGACTGTGAAGTTGGCTCTGGATGCTCACCCGATGGCAACATGGAGTCCTGCTTGCAGAGGTGTTGCTGATATACCTTTTTTCTCGTTTTTATACCTCTTACCTTTTATACCTTTTTTTCTCGTTTTTACAGTATAGCACTTTGTCTGTAATTTTTGAGATATCCTAGGTAATTTACACTATGTATGATAACTGTACTCATGTGTACCTGTGAGAGACAGACAGAGACAGAGATATAGACAGAGACAGAGATAGACAGACAGATACAAAGAGACAGTCAAAGTCAGTAAGTTAGTGAGTCAGCAAGCCAGCCAGCCAACCAGCCAGCCAGCCAGCCAGCCAGCCAGCCAGCCAGCCAGCCAGCCAACCAGCCAGCCAGCCAGCCAGCCAGCCAGCCAGCCAGCCAACCAGCCACCCAGCCACCCAGCCAGCCAGACACCCACCCACCTGGCGAGCCAGCCAGATAGCCGGCCAGCCAGATAGCCGGCCAGCCAGATAGCTGGCCAGCCAGCCAGTCAGCCGGCCTGCTAAATATGCATTACACGTTCCAGAATTGTTTCTCTTTACGTAGGGAATAGGTTATAGGACATTCTGGCAGGATGACACTACCAGTGGTATAAAAAATGAAAGGGTGTTGCACAAATGTTGCGCATTAGCTATTATAGAGGTTTTTGATATTTCCTAGACCACTTGTGGCCGCATCCATCTCAAAGTCACTAAACTCGGAGTGAACATCACTTTTCTCTTAAAAGGAGAGTGTTAATACGATATGACATCAGTGAATCCCTGGGGTTTACCATGCTATTTGCTCTAGCTGGTGCTGAGTTGAACTGGTGCTCCCGCAAGGTACTAAGTGGTCCCAAATATTTTTAATACTACACACACCATGTGTTAAGACCCATTCTCTACTGACCAGGCATCTCAGGCCAATCATACCAAATTTGGAGGCAGGAAAAATAAAACATTGATCTACGTTTGGAGCACTAGCGATACTAACATAGATCTACGTTTGGAGCGCTAGCGGTACTAACATGTGCTTGTGTTTTCTCCACAAATTCAGTGTTATTTGTGATTATTATACCCCTGATATGTCTGGTGTTAAGCACAAAAGCAGTGGTGATGTAGGTGGTAGTGGTAAGAAGTGCCAGGCCATCACAATGGAAACAAAAGTGGACGTAATAAAGAAGGTAGAGTGAAATAAAAAGATGGTGAATGTCACCTGTTCGTACAACATGAATCATTCCACCATTAGCATGATTCTCAAGAACAAGGACAAGATTATGGAACATGTGAAAAGTTCAGTGCCAGTGCAGTTTACAATAATCAGTAAGAGATGTGAAAAAGTGATGAAAGAACTTTAAAAACTGTTAAGTATTTGGCTTGAAGATCTACGAGTATTTTTCAAGGTGATATTTGGATTCAGGACATGAAAATACATAAGAATTAACTAATCTCATTTAAGAAGCATGCAACTTTTCAATAATTGTTGACCAGTGAGATCAGCAATAGTATCAGGTGCCACTGAGCCTAATGCTGATCCAAGAGAAGGTTAAAAGCATTTTCTCTGACTTGCAAGCCGAACATGGTGACAATGGAGCAGATGTGTCTTTTACTGTGAGTCATGGATGGTTTCAACATTTCAAGGCTTGTGCCAACCTCCACAGCATGAAGGTGAGTGGCAAGGTAGTGAGTGCTGATATGGTAACCGTTCATGAGTTGCCTGAGGCACTGAGGAAAATCATTGAGGAGGATGAGTTTTTACCCCAGCAAATCTTCATTGTTGGTGAAACAGGCCTTTACTGGAAGATGCTGGATAGAACCTACATCACCAAGGAAGAAAAGACAATGCTGAGCTATAAAGTAGCAAAGGATTGGTTGACTCTCCTGCTTGGTGGCAACGCTTTGGGAGATCTCAAGCTCAAGCCCCCTGTTAGTTTACCACTCGGAGAACCCACAAGCCCTTAAAAACATAGCCTTATTTGTGTGGAAGAGTAACCTGAAAGCCTGGGTGACTTTTGTCATTTTTCAAGATTGGTTTTTCACTATTTTATCCCTGAGGTGTAGAGGGACTGCTGGCAAAATAACATCCCTTTCAACATTCTCCTGCTGCTTAATAATGCCCTAGGCCACCCTCCCTTTCTTGGATGATTTTCATCCAAATGTGAAGATAGTCTACCTGCCACCTAACACTACCTCCCTCTTCTAGCCTATGGACCAGGGAGTGATTGCAACTTTTAATAAATATTATCTCCATTGTACACTTTGGCAGGTAGTGAAGGCAACTGAGTTTGACTCCAAGATGACCTTGCACCAGTTTTGGAAGGCCTATGATATTTATAAGGCCATTAAGAATATTGATTCCTCATGGCGTGAAATTACAACTTCCAACATGAATGGGGTATGGTAGCACCTGTGCCCCCAGTTTGTTTCAGAGTTTCGTGGGTTTGAGAAGGCGGAGGAAGAATATATAAATGTCATCAGTACTTTAGTCGCCCTTAGTAGGAGGCGGGATCTTGATCTCGAGGAGGATAGCCTTAACCCAGAGAAAGGAGGAAGAAAAAGAAGAGGAAGTGGAAGTGGTTCTGGAACCAAAGCACTTCCAGACAAAGTTGATGGCAGAGGGGTTTCATTTGATTGAAGAATCTCTGTCATTGTTTGAATCGCAGGAGCCGAATGTGGAACGGTACACCAAGGTTTCAGCAGCTGTTCATGATGTAATTCGCTGCTACCATCTCATCTACGAAGAGAAGAAGATGGCCACCACCCAGACATCCTTAGACTGCTTCTTCAGGAGGGTGGACAAACTTAATGAGTCTCTCCAGGAGCATGAATCAGTGCCATCAATTTCAGATGCTACGACATTCAGACCAAACCTTCTCACCATCTGTTTTATTAAATTTATATTATTTATAAACTTTATTATAAACATTATAAACTTAATTTATAACACATGTTTTGTTTACTAGTGTACAGTATGTATATTTCCTGTGTTCACATGTGTATTTAAACTATGTACACTTCTGAGTTACTCAGTGTTCATAGGTTCATTAATATGTGAAGTGTGGCATGGCAAATGGAGAGACTTGGGATCATGAGATTTAAGTTAGATGTGGTGATGATGGTTGTTATGAGTGCTTATGCAGCATCTGATAAAAAAAATGAAAAAAATATTTGATTGAATGGCTTAGAGAATGAGAGTGAAATTATGCCAGGCAGATAAAGTTTGATAGTGACTTGAATGATGTACAGTAGGACCCCACTTATTCAGCAGGTTAGGTTTCAGGCTACCGTTGGAAAGCGGTCATCCCTGAAAAGCAGAACACCATTTTGTCCACTTGTAAATGCATATAAATACCAGATAACAAGTTTACACTAACAGATATTAAGTTAGCAGTAGAACTAATGTTCCTAAGACCTTGTCGGTAAGTGAGGAGCATACTATAATGGTAGTGGGGGTATGTCAACCATCTTTGATATTGTTTTAATGTCTCCTTTGCACCATTTATAACATTTCTGGTATATTTTTAAATGTTTATACAGTAGTGTACTGTATATTGTAATAAGCAGAATAGAGGAAATCAGCTCTAACATATATTATTTAGGTATGAATACTGGTCAAAGAGCCTGTCATAAGTCTGAATCATCAGTAAACGGGTATGTTGCTAAGTGAGGAGAGGTTGTACACTCATTACTTACCTTAAAATACCTGTAGGGTGAGAGGTGACTAGTATTGTAAGAGATTAGGTATGGTAGCCCACCAGGCCACCCCACCCACACGTAATATACTATGACATTTAAAGCGCCCTAGAGCAATATGATGCATATACAGTACATTCATTATATACCTTAAAATATTTAGTCTTAATGTAGGGTGAGAGGTGAGTAATATTTATTACAAGAGGTCAGGTGTGGTAGGTATGGCCACCCTCACCCACACATAATATTCAGTCAAAGCTCGGTTTTTGTGTGCCCTAGTTTTTGTACTATTCGGTTTTCAATGTCTTTTTTCATCAAAATTTTGTCCCAGTTTTCGTACATCTGCTCGGTTTTCGTATGGTTGAAAATGGTCCGTACCAAACTCGTCCGCCTGCCCACATGACTCAGCCACTCATTTCCTGGAATCAAGTGCCCACGCAAAGCATCCCATGCATTCATGGCTCAGTATGCCTTTGTTTCAAGTTGAGTGAGCATTGCCCACGCATTCATCTGAAACATTTTGTAATAATTCATTGTTTTTTGTGTGACTGCTAAATAAGCCACCATGGGGTCAAAGAAAGTTCTGAGTGCCAGCCCTTTGATAAAGAAGAGGAGAAACATGATAGAATTCAAGAAAGAACTTGTAGCAAAGTACAGTGGAACCCTGGATTTCATCCACTGCGGATATCGTACAATTCGGATTTCAACCACTTTTTTGGGCAAAATTTTACCCTGAGTTTCGTACCCCCAGTCAGAAATCATCTGTATCAGATACATCTGCCCACCCGGGACGCGGCTGCTCACACGTATGTGACCCAGTCTGCCTCTGTCACTTGTTCAGTGAGCAGTACTCTACACGTTCATCTGAAACATTTTGTAATCCATTATTTTTTGTACACTTGCCATCCGACTTATGACCGAGTTCGGTTCCGAGAAACCGGTCGTAAGTCGAAATGGTCGTAAGTCGAACTTTACTACTGAATATCAACAAAACATTTTTGTAATGACTTTATTTTATTGTTTTATTTTGGTATTTCATGTTTTACTTTACTTTTTATGCTGTTAGTACTGCATTTTATACTGTAAGGTTTAGGATAAACACTGTGT